TGAAATACATTTCCATACAATTCCATGCGTACAAAAAATTGTACACCAAATCGTTATGTTAATCATTTTTTCCATATTTGAAAGTTGTATGATAAATACTTTTCCATAAACCAAAACGTTGTTTTTTTTTCTAAATTCAACTTCTAAAAAATAAATTTTGGGTTGTTTTTGTAACCGAACACAAGTGACAAAGACCTTGTTTTGCTCAAAAAACCAAAAGTTGGGCGGTCTTGCGTTTCTAATGCATAGAAAGCGACCTGAACTGTTCTACAGCTGTCTTGCATATTATATAAAGAGAGTAACAAAATTTTTAAACTTTGGCAAAACTTTCTAACGATGATTCTTTTTGAAATTTGATTTTTTTATTTATCGGAGATTAATCCAGGCATGCAAAAACATGCCATACAAAAAAAACAGGAGTTTGCAACGTTTTTGAAAAATATATATATTAAACGAGAAGGAAAAAAGTCCACTATTAGTGTATCCAGGACTACGTTATATACACAGAAAAGTAAATTTTGCATTCAAAAACATTTTTTTTGGAAAATGCTTGTTTGAGCATAAAGTTCGATTTGTTAAGAAAAAAACAAAAAAAAAATTTTCTGGGGCAATTTGAAAATTAGTAAAAAAATGTTTGTTTCGCCATCAAAAAACGCTAGTCATACAATTTCCATTTATGGAAATTGTTAAATAAGCCTTTTTTTGAAAAATAAAAACAAAAACCTCGGTGTTTTCATCACCAGACTGTTTTATTAGAATCAAACAGCTGCTGAAATTAGCTTATATCTTTTTTCAACAATTTTTTGAAATTGACAAGCTTTTTTCCATACACTTAATGTATGGTGGAATTGTATGATAAGCATTTTCAGTATATGGAGGTGAACCCAGGTTGATTGTAATTCATATGGGTACCATCATTTTGAATTGATTGAGATTCAACTAGCTGATCTTCAGAACAAACATTTAGACAAGTAACGTTATAGATTAACTGAAGTATAAGAATGCTAAATCAGATAATTTTGATAAGTTCATTTGGTTTGAGTACAAATTGTTATCCAACAATCAAATTCCTTCAAAAAGCTACAGTAGTTTTGAAGCTTGTTCTGTTTTCAGAACATTTGTGGCCAAACTCGTGCTTTACATAAAGAGTCATATTTGATTTAAAGACGCGAATTAAGTAGCGTTTTAAAGATGTTTTTTTTTCTCAAATTAAAATGATGATCAAAACTAGATCAAAATTGTTTAAATGTACATAAAAATCCTAAATATGCAAGTCAAAAAATTTACTTTAAAAAACCGTTTTATTTTTAATGTAATTACTTTCTTGCGAATAATTTCAAAAACAGAGCGGATTTAGCGGGGCGGACGACGCCTCTCCTCAGATATTCGACCTCTTCACCAAGCAAAGGGTCACCCGTTGGTATATTTGCTTGACATCTATTTTTGGTTGAAAAACCCTTCAACTTTTTAAAGGCTCCTACGCTGCCAATACATTCTAATTTTTTAAGGGTGCGCGAGCAAAAAACAGCAATTTTTTGGTCAAAACCTTCCCAAAAGTGCCCAAAAACGGGCAATTTTTTTGTAATTTAGGAGAAAAATCAATTTTACAAATATAACAGTAGGGTTGCACTTTTTCATCGTTTCCATTTTAAAGTTTCAATATTTCTTCTGGTCTTTCAAAAATCACGGGTTGACAAAAATGATTATCATACAATTCTCAAATATGAGAAAAATGCTTGCCATACTCTTTCATACAATTTCATAAAGTAAAAGTAAGTGTATGAAAATAGCAAAATAAGCATTTTTTGCAGACTATGAAACTTTATAACAAGCATTTTTCCTTACTCTGGAATTAAAATTTGAACTTTTCCATCAGTCTTTTTATCCCAAAAATTGTATAAAAATAGCATGATAAGCATTTTTTCCATGCTCATAAATTACATTATAAGCATTTTTCCAATGCTTTGAAATGGTTTGACAAGCTTTTTTTCCATAAATGAAAATACAAAATTTTTTTTTGAAACTTTCTGTTTCACCCCACACTTACCACGGATTTTTGTCATAAGAAAACCCAGAGTGTAACTGGCAGTTACCACGCAAATAAATTGCATTTGGTGATTTTAGCCATTTAAGTTACTTTCAACATTTTTACATAAAATTAACTTTTTGGATATGGCTAGATAGTTTTTAGCTTAAAATTTTTGGTGGTTGAGAAAAAAAAGGTCCGTTTTTTACAAATTTCTTTTTAGCTTAGCAAATGAAACAAAACATAATAATCATGTTAACAAAAAAAACACATTTTGTGATTTTTGATTTTTTTTTGGTGAAAAACTCATCCTGGACTAAGTTATAAACACAAAAAGTCAAATTTTGCATGCAAAGTTTTTGTTTCGTAAAATTTATATTTGAGCACAAAAGCAATTTTGCAAGCAAAAAAAAGATAAAAAATTTTTTACGTCAAATTTGTGTTTTTGTTTATGAAAAAATGAATATCAAACAATTTTAATATATGATTATTATATGATAATCAATTTTTCCGACCGAAATTAAATTACTGTTTTTGATTGTCAAAATGCCCTCTATCTTAAACATTTTTCTTTAAACTTTTTTAAAGTTATCCAGACAAGTTTGTTTGTTATTTTTGGTTTCATACTTAATTTCATGCATGAAACTTGTATGATAAATATTTTTATCGAAAATTTGAATATTTTTTAATGACCAGAAAGCTTCAAAAGAGGCAAATAGACAAAAAAAATTTTAAAATCTCTTTTTAATGTTGTATGATAAACATTTTTTCCATAGACTTCATTTATGAAACTGTATGAAACGCATTTTACTTCTATGGACATCAACCCGGGATGACTCTGCTTTAAAATATAATGTTAATAAAGAACAGAAGAAATATGAAAAAAATCTTCATTCTAAGATTCAAGAAATTGTGCAATGGAATGGTAATTCTGCTTTTTGAAGCCATACATAAAAGCAGTAACGGATGGCTGCCCTCCCTTTGAAAGTGGACCCTTTTACATATAACTTTAAATCTGACTGAAAAAGCACTCGGTGCCACTTTACAAAAAATTTGCGAGGAACTGCGCACCACAAACAAAACTCTGTCTAAGAAAATTTTCAGCTAGTTTATTTAAAAAAATCAGATGCCTGCTGGGCGCAGAATTTTTGGTAAGGTTGTTTATTTTTATGCTACACAGAAGTTAGAAACTAGATTTGATTGACTTAAAATATAACTTCCAGCCCTAAATAAGAGCTAGATCAACATGCTAAATTGTCATTTCTCATCAAATTTCATCTTTTATTATGTCTTTTCTAGCTTCTAAATGTCAAAAATGGTTACTCAATTTCGTTCGGACGATATATTTAAATCAATTTCAATCAGAGCAAAAGAAAGTAAGAATTGATTGATCAATTAGTTTATTTAGATTTATGGTAGTTTTGTTGGGTGTGAAGGTAAGTTTTTTCGTGTTTATATTTGTTTAAAAATCTCAGGCTACCTATTCTTGTTAGCGCAATTATGTGCATTAGCTGAAGCAATTCTACAACTCTTCTTGATGCTGGCAAGTGCTATCAGCAGAATTAAAACTTTACACAAAACTTTGAGCTATTTTTCTAGAAAGCTGTTTTTCAGATTGTAAAGCGTTGTATTGGCCGGAGTGTTTTATGATGAAACAAGTTGCAAAAAAGGCAAAATGGAGCTGGGGATCAATAGTGAGTTATGTTTTTTTTGCTGAAAATTGTAACGAAAGGCTGTTTATGCATCAAAACTATTGGGTTGCTCTGGGTCAAATAATAATCATGTAAATAACTTCTAAAGTTTAATTGTAGTCCATTGTAAAATTAAAAACGTTTAAACACATTGTTGATGATCTAAGTGATCAGTTCAGATTGAAAATTAGCGAAGAACAATTGAGAAAAAACGACCGCTATCGATGAATTGTTGATATTCAGTGCCACAATAGCAAATACTGTCGCTGGGTTATTGCTAATTCAGCACTTGAAAAAAATAGCGACTAAACAGCAATAACTCATGAATGATTTGTAAATTGTTCTATCATTAAAGCGATAATTTATTGTTGGTTCACTCTAAAACCTGATTAAGACTGAATTAAAGTCTGAAATAAATAGGAGTTTGTTATAACATCAAATTGAAACCAACAGTTACAAAATCAACAGTCTTATGAAAGTGCTTAATTTAAGAAAAACTCTAGTCTCTCCAAAATCATGATTTTCTTCAACTTATTTTGCATATAGGTTCCGGCTTGGGTTCCGGCTTTCCAAACAAGCGGCGATTTGACTTCGATTCTCCCAATTACTCATATGGTGTTCTCTCAGTTCTTCTCGAGTTGAAATAGTCCATAAAAACTAAATAGGTTCCCATTACTAAGACTCTTTTTAACTCCCAAGGGGATAGCAACTCGTGGTTTTTTCCATTTCCCCAACAATTCTACTTCTTTACTCGGAGGGGTAACTTTCTCGAGAAAACTATTTTGAAACAGTGGGGACTGAAAATAGGGCGACTTAAAAAGGACAAGCCAAAAAAAAACTTAAACGCTTTCTTTAAAATCTTTGCACCCTGGAAGTCTTTTTGTTTATACGAAAAAAATCTTAAAACTAAAAGCACTATTTTAACAGATTTTAGCAAATTGAGCTTAAATGGCCGTTTTTAGCAAAAAAAAAGAGAAAAAAGCTAATAAATCGATCTATGAAATAGCACGGAATCATCCATGAAAAGGTAATTAAAGCTGATTAGCAATTTTTCGTCAATGATTAATACTGTGAGCTCAACTCGGGTAGCTCATCTTTGAGGTTCGAAGAATATGGCTTCATTTAACAAAATAGTTCTCAAAAATTTCTAGAAATAATACCAAAACGGGCTAACTTTGACATGTTTGCAATTTTTACTTAGAAGCTCTAATACTTTTTGATACAAAAAGTTGTTGATTTGAGAGGGAATTAAGAAATTGATTTTACTTGAGATTTGATTTCAGAGCGACTTGAGTTGCGTAGTGGGTGGCGTGGTCTGGTGGGGGCCTCTCACTCGGGGGGGTTCAGTCTGTTCCAGCAGGACAAGATGGCCCCTCCCCACCTGAGGAAGGAGATCTCCCAGGAGATGGTCACAGCCACATTCCTAGAAAACCACCTCAAACAGAACGTTAGACACTGATTGAACGATTTCGATAACTATTGAGGGCTTTCTTCACTTCTCTTCTTTTCTGATTTTGACTCATGATTTTCTAAATGAATTTTAAATGACTTAAAAACATAAAAGGTTCGAAGACATGTTTTTTTTGTATGCCGATAGTGCAAATAGTCATGCTTCATTTATTATTTAAAGTTCTTACAAGGGTCTCTTAGAAGACAAAAATCAGCAAAAATCAAAGGGGGTGAACTGGAAAAAGCCCACATTTCAATTGAACATTTTGCCAGGACATTTTTCTGGTATCATCTATTGCAAAATAGTGAGATTATGCTTCCTAGTTACAGTATTCCTACAATAATCTCGACCGTTGATTGATTCCCAATTTATAAAATCGTGCGCCAAAATCAGATTTTGAATGGAAACTTAGCGAAATTCTGGCACATTTTGGTCTGCAGGTTGATTCAGATAACGTGGAAAACCAATCGATTACCAGCGAATACAACTCCATAAAGCTTCAGTTGATTCAGCTAATAGAAGAAGCTATATCTTGAATAGTCTTTTCTCGAAATCCCAGAACCACACGATTTATTTTCAAACTATTTAAAAGATTCCGGATTTTTTGTTCTCAATGATGTTGTAGTTAAAATCAATACAAGTTAAAATCGATACCATTACTGAAAAAATGCTGTTTTAAATCTTAATAGCTCATTTAATAAGAAACGGAAAAAATAGTTTGACAAAAAAAAATACACCCATCCAGGGGTGGATCATGGATTTTCTCCAGGGGGAGGGTTTTTTAAAAGTAAGATCAAACATTTTGTTGACTTTTTTTAAGTTCGATGAAATGGATTTCCCGAGCTCTCTCAAAACACTATGAAGGACCTCTTTTTTGCTCAATCAAAAAATTAAATTTCCTTGTAAGAAAAGTGTGCGCTTAGAAAATTTTTATCACCGGTCGACCAAAAGTGGACATCGAAAAATAGTTTAAAGGGAGAGACTGTATAACACAGCACAGATAAGAGAAGCAGCCCCCCTGCTCCTTGAGTTCGCTATTGTTCTCATTAACTTCAGCGTAGTTGTTGTTGTTTTGTTGCAGCAGCAGTTCCTGCGCACTGTGATCCGGATGCCAGACCTGCAGAGGGGGGAGGGGGTGGTGAGTGGCCAGATGGGGGTGACCCCCTCGGCCCACTTCATATCATTCTTCGCCTCCATGTACCCCACAACAGACTGGTTCGCAGGCACAGACAGTGTCTCTTTATGCTCAAACAGGTACTGCCCTATAATCAAAGCTAAATAAAATGATAATATTAACAACTAACAGTGAGGCAGGGGCGGATTTAGGGGGAGGGCGGGGGGCGGACGCCTTCTCTCAGTGATTCGACCCACTGCCGACACAAAGGGTTCCCCTTCGTACTATTTTGAGATACCCATTTTTGCTGAGGGACCCTAAAATTTTTATAAACGCGCCTTTGGCGCCAATATATAATAACTTTGAGGGCGCGTACCGAAACAATGCAATTTTTTGGTAAAAGTTTTCCAAAAAGAGCCTAAAAACGCCTTTTTTGGCCATTTTTTTTTTTCAAAATTTTGCCTGCGGCGCAGAAAATTAGGCTAAAACAGGGACACTTTTTAGTGTTTTGGGAGGGCTCGAAAAATCAATTGGGTCGACCTAAAAAAATTTTGGGTTTACATTTACGACCATGATCCAAAATTCCAAACTGGAATAACAAACGAGCCATATGTTTGATTTTTTCAAAGCGTAAGCGACACAGTAAATCATTCCAAACTGAAGCAAGCCATTTGCTCTGAGAAGTAATTTACCACACGCAAAATATTTACTATCTTTCTACTTAATATAGCGTACAGGGGGCGACATAATTAAGAAATGAAAATTAAAAAGTCAAAATTTTTCAAATTTTTTTCAAACAATGTCATGAAAATTCTAGAGGGCAGAATTGTTTTTATCTAGATCCCAAAAATTGTGATATCGTGTATCTTGTACAATTTCAACGCAACAACTCTAAAAAAAGGTCGACAAAATTTTTTAAAATTTTTGAAAATACGCCCCCCTCAAAAAAATCTTAGATCCGCCCCTGCAGTGAGGAGAGCTGAATTTGCTGGCAAAAACTTCTGAATCTAATCTTCGTTTTGTAAAGGAAAAAAGAAAAAGGAGATTTTTAAAAAAAATTTTTCGCTCTGTGAATTATTATTTTTCCATTTTTTGCAATTCAGTGTTATTTTTTGAGTTTTCCTACACTCCCCCTCAATGATCTTGAGGTAACATCCCAGAATGGTCTCAATATGTAAATGATCGATGCAGAAGTAATGTATCAATTGTAAAACAATAATGTAACAGTATGTGTTCACTGTCGCTTTAATGAGATACCTTTATCACTTTAATGTCATTTTATGAGCTACTTTTGACTGGTTTGACGTTAGTTCACTGTCACTTCAATATTTAAGGCCCGCGGACAAAAATCAGTAAAATTTCACTCGTGTTATTCCTCATCATCTATCTGCTGGCGTCTTCAGCTTATTTCGCTGTCAGAAAACTTTCGCTTATTTTTCCGACTTTCAAAGAGAACGAAACATTTATGCGCGGCGTGGTTTTTTTATTCAGTCACTTTTCGCCGATCGAAATAATCATTTTTAACAAAAAATTTTTTAACCCCCATTGGAGATATTGACATCCTAAGTTCAAATTTAACAAGTTATTTTACCTCCAATTTTTAAAGTTCTGGGGTTTTGAAAATTGCCAATTTGGCCATGTTCTTGACTATATTATGCGCGCTTTGAAGAATTTATTCATAACGCTGAGAGTATAAAGCGAATAACTTATGCGTGGCGAATTACTTATCCCGCACAACAAAGTCGTTCCAAACTGAATTGAGGCTAGCTAATCGGTCTTTTTAATTTCGCACGACTCAAAATTTCACACTTTCATATTAATCAAAATTTATAGGTTTTCAATATTTTCTTTTCACAAAAACTATTTGATATGAACTAGAAGACAGCCGAAACAATCAGGGCTATGCCATGATATACGAGCAGTCTTGTTTAATTGGTTGCCGCTTTATGGTCAGTATTAGTTCAATATTGGTTCAGAAAATCCGAAAAACAGAAAAACTGTGCTTTGAATCGTGATTCGAGCAACAAACAAAACCAAGTCCTATTTTTTTCCAGCGTTGAAAAATTACAACGTGAAAATTTTACTCAGTAAATCAAAACGTATATAAAAGCTAATCTTCAGACTCGATTTTTGAGCTCGGGGTGGGTTTTTTTATTCAGACAAATTTCGACTTTTTAACTAGCCATTTTTGACGGATTTTTTTCTACATCATTTCGAAAGCTATTGTTGTCTTGAGCTTAAATTTGAAAAGATATTACACCTGTGACCATTTTTTGTAACGTTATTATTAGGGTTTAAAGATTGCCATTTTGGCCCATTTGGGACAATTAACGCGCGATATATTTCGCGCTATGAACGCGTAAGCGAGATTTAATCCGTCTTAGAAATCTTTCTAAATTGGTTCAAGTAAGATTATATGCCATAATTGATTTGTTAATAGGAACAAAATCTATCACTTTGTACTTAATATGGAGTGTGGGGGGATGTTTTCACAAAAAATCTCAAACTTTTTAATTTTTACTTTAAAAAAAATTTTAATTTTACTTCGTTACATTTAAGTTTTCCATGTTATTACTGCTCCCTAGACCTTAAAAGGCAGTGGGATCATTCAGAGCTTTGTCCTGATACGAGCAGTCTGGGTTGGCGTTTTATTCCACAAGTAAATCCTTACGTTTGCCTTGTTTTTCTCCGCCTAAATAATTTGGAATACAAGAAAGTACAAAAACTACAAATAAGCAAAATGAAAAACTGTTTCCTAATGCAAAATCCACAGTTTGATATTTTGAGCCGAAGTAAAATTTTTCAAAAAAATGAAAAGAGAAAAAATAATAATGAAACAATAATATGCTCAATCAAATAGTTAATTCTTCCGACTTTCGTAACGAAAGAAACGGAATATTTGTGCTCGGTGTGTTTATTTTTTTCAGACAAATTTTGATTTTTTAATTTCAAAGTTTTGACGGAAAAGGTAAAGTTGGCTTGTTTTTTATTCTGCCTAAATTACCAACGGAATATTTGCACTCGGATTACGGTTTTTCTCGTGACAAGTTTGAACTTTTTCGATAGCAATTTGAAAAAAAAACTTTTTCTTGTAGTTTGTAAATGGATACTGAAGGCTCAAAAATTGAAAAATGTTGTCATTACGAGGTCAAACTGTGCACTGGGTAGGCACACAAATTTGTGTATGTATGTTCCTCGATTCCAGAGAGAAGTCTTTAAACAAGTTAAAATTGTGTCGGAACGATCAAAGTAAATGAAAGAACAAGAAAAACAAAGAGAGCTTCCTTGTTGGTGAATCCACTTACAATTCACAAAATGCTTAGTTTGGCTTTGTAATGGATAAATTGTGGTTTTTTTTTGCAAAATTAAGGGGTTTTGATTTTGGGTTTACATTTACGACAATGATCCAAAATTCCAAACTGGAATAACAAACGAGCTATATGTTTGATTTTTCCAAAGCGTAAGCGACACAGTAAATCATTCCAAACTGAAGCAAGCCATTTGCTCTGAGAAGTAATTTACCACACGCAAAATATTTACTATCTTTCTACTTAATATAGCGTACAGGGGGCGACATAATTAAGAAATGAAAATTAAAAAGTCAAAATTTTTCAAATTTTTTTCAAACAATGTCATGAAAATTCTAGAGGGCAGAATTGTTTTTATCTAGATCCCAAAAATTGTGATATCATGTATCTTGTACAATTTCAACGCAACAACTCTAAAAAAAGGTCGACAAAATTTTTTAAAATTTTTGAAAATACGCCCCCCTCAAAAAAATCTTAGATCCGCCCCTGCAGTGAGGAGAGCTGAATTTGCTGGCAAAAACTTCTGAATCTATTCTTCGTTTTGTAAAGGAAAAAAGGAAAAGAAGATTTTTAAAAAAAATTTTCCCTCTGTGAATTATTATTTTTCCATTTTTTGCAATTCAGTGTTATTTTTTGAGTTTTCCTACACTCCCCCTCAATGATCTTGAGGTAACATCCCAGAATGGTCTCAATATGTAAATGATCGATGCAGAAGTAATGTATCAATTGTAAAACAATAATGTAACAGTATGTGTTCACTGTCACTTTAATGAGATACCTTTATCACTTTAATGTCATTTTATGAGCTACTTTTGACTGGTTTGACGTTAGTTTGCTGTCACTTCAATATTTAAGGCCTGCGGACAAAAATCAGTAAAATTTCACTCGTGTTATTCCTCATCATCTATCTGCTGGCGTCTTCAGCTTATTTCGCTGTCAGGAAACTTTCGCTTATTTTTCCGACTTTCAAATAAAACGAAACATTTATGCGCGGCGTGGTTTTTTTATTCAGTCACTTTTCGCCGATCGAAATAATCATTTTTAACGAAATTTTTTTTTACCCCCATTGGAGATATTGACATTCTAAGTTCAAATTTAACAAGTTATTTTACCTCCAATTTTTAAAGTTCTGGGGTTTTGAAAACTGCCAATTTGGCCATGTTCTTGACTAAATTATGCGCGCTTTGAAGAATTTATTCATAACGCTGAGAGTATAAAGCGAATAACTTATGCGTGGCGAATTACTTATCCCGCACAACAAAGTCGTTCCAAACTGAATTGAGGCTAGCTAATCGGTCTTTTTAATTTCGCACGACTCAAAATTTCACACTTTCATATTAATCAAAATTTATAGGTTTTCAATATTTTCTTTTCACAAAAACTATTTGATATGAACTAGAAGACAGCCGGAACAATCAGGGCTATGCCATGATATACGAGCAGTCTTGTTTAATTGGTTGCCGCTTTATGGTCAGTATTAGTTCAATATTGGTTCAGAAAATCCGAAAAACAGAAAAACTGTGCTTTGAATCGTGATTCGAGCAACAAACAAAACCAAGTCCTATTTTTTTTCCAGCGTTGAAAAATTACAACGTGAAAATTTTACTCAGTAAATCAAAACGTATATAAAAGCTAATCTTCAGACTCGATTTTTGAGCTCGGGGTGGGTTTTTTTATTCAGACAAATTTCGACTTTTTAACTAGCCATTTTTGACAAATATTTTTTATATCATTCGAAAGCTATTGTTGTCCTGAGCTTAAATTTGAAAAGATATCTCACCTGTGGCCATTTTTCGTAAAGTTATGGGGGTTTAAAGTTTGCCATTTTGGCCAATTTGGGACAATTAACGCGCGATATATTTCGCGCTATGAACGCGTAAGCGAGATTTAATCCGTCTTAGAAATCGTTCTAAATTGGTTCAAGGAAGATTATATGCCATAATTGATTTTTTACTAGGAGAAAAATCTATCACTTTGTACTTAATATGGAGTGTGGGGGGATATTTTCAAAAAAAATCTCATTTTTTATTAATTTTTACTTAAAAAAATTTAATTTTACTTCGTTACATTTAAGTTTTCCATGTTACTACTGCTCCTTAGACCTTAAAAGGCAGTGGGATCATTCAGGTCTTCGTCCTGATACGAGCAGTCTGGGTTGGCGTTGTAATCCACAAATAAATCCTTACGTTTGCCTTGTTTCCTAAATAATTTGGAATACAAGAAAGTACAAAAACTACAAATTAGCAAAATGAAAAACCGTTTCCTAAAGCAAAATCCACAGTTTGATATTTTGAGCGGAAGTAAAATTTTTCAAAAAAATGAAAAGAGAAAAAATAATAATGAAACAATAATATGCTCAATCAAATAGTTTGTTCTTCCGACTTTCGTAACGAAAGAAACGGAATATTTGTGCTCGGTGTGATTATTTTTTTCAGACAAATTTTGATTTTTTAATTTCAAAGTTTTGACGGAAAAGGTAAAGTTGGCTTGTTTTTTATTCTGCCTAAATTAACAACGGAATATTTGCACTCGGATTACGGTTTTTCTCCTGACAAGTTTGAACTTTTTCGATAGCAATTTGAAAAAAAAACGTTTTCTTGTAGTTTGTAAATGGATACTGAAGGCTCAAAAATTGAAAAATGTTGTCATTACGAGGTCAAACTGTGCACTGGGTAGGCACAAAAATTTGTGTATGTATGTTCCTCGATTCCAGAGAGAAGTCTTTGAACAAGTTAAAATTGTGTCGGAACGATCAAAGTAAATGAAAGAACAAGAAAAACAAAGAGAGCGTCCTTGTTGGTGAATCCACTTACAATTCACAAAATGCTTAGTTTGGCTTTGTAATGGATAATTTGTGGTTTTTTCTTGCAAAATTAAAGGCCATTGATTTTGGGTTTACATTTACGATAATGATCCAAAATTCCAAACTGGAATAACAAACGAGCCATATGTTTGATTTTTTCAAAGCGTAAGCGACACAGTAAATCATTCCAAACTGAAGCAAGCCGTTTGTTCTGAGAAAAAATTTACCACACGCAAAACATTTACTATCTTTCTACTTAATTTAGCGTACAGGGGGCGACATAATTAAGAAATGAAACTTAAAAAGTCAAAATTTTTCAAATTTTTTTCAAACAATGTCATGAAAATTGTAGAGGGCAGAATTGTTTTTCTCTAGATCCCAAAAATTGTGATATCGTGTATCTTGTACAATTTCAACGCAACAACTCTGTTTTAAGCGCTACTTTTCAAATCGTGTTTTTTTTCAGTTGATAATAAAACCAATACTTTATTACGTCCAAATTAGCGCTATCTTGTGGCACTTTTAATTCGACCGAAGACATATTGGTGACATTTGAAGTTTGCTCAACTTCCTGTCATTATCATGATTACATCATTATTACATCTTTCTTAGATCATTTCTACATCATTATTACATCATTATTACATAATTAATACATCATTATTACATCATTATTACGTCATTATTGCACCAATATTATATCTATCTATACTATATTTAAATGCGAGTGACAGCTATCTCCCATGTTTAGGTATAATAATTTTGCATGTTTAACGAATTTTTTTTTCATATTTAAGCTATATCATATGTTGCAATGCTTTAAAAAAAAATTTCTTTCAATTTTCTGCAAGGTCATTAATTTTTCAGTATTTTTTTTTCGAGGCCAAATTAAGTCTGTCTGTATACCTGCTTTTTAACTTAATTTGATTATGTCTGTCTACCCGTCGCCTAATTTTTTTAACTTTAATCTATTATCTATTATATATTTAAATGCGGGCTTCACTATCTCGCCATGTTAAAGTTTTTTCAACGTATTATTTTCGCATGTTTAACAAAAGAACTTTTTCACGTTTAAGCTATATCGTGTATTGCAATGGTTAAGGTTCTGTTTTCGACTTTCCAGTTTACATTAAGAATTTATTTCATCAAGTTTGGAATTAGTAACCCAATAGTAGGAAATTGTCAGAGTTTTCCTAGCTATTGCGGTTGTGGCCTCCATATATGAATAACCCAATCCTTTTAGATAGGCAATTTTCGAGATTTTTCAAAAACTTATAGAAAATTTAATTTTGAAAAATTTCTCAATTTTTGAAATTTTCACCCTGTAGTTGGGTGCCTTCAGAGTACTCTCAGGGGTTGCGAATCATGCCTCCAATTCTCACTGATCAAACCCTTGTAGTTTTCGAGATATGACGTTTTTTTTATTTTTTAAAAAATTTTGCAAAAACTTAGATTTTTAAAAAATTCCAAAATGTTAAAGATCTCAATCCTGTTATTGAAATCTGTGAAGATACTCTCAGCAGGTTTCGAATCTTGCCTCTGAATATGAATGGTCAAATTCTTGTAAGTTTTGAGATATGACGTTTTTTTAGGTTTTTTTTCAAAATTTTTCAGAAAACTTAGGTATGAAAAATTTCGCAAAACGTGAAATATTCTTTTCGGTAGAGGCTCTTAGGGTACTCTCAGGAAATGGGAGTTTTGCCTCCCAATTTGACTGCTGAAATCCTTGTAGTTTTCCAGATACGACGTTTTTTGTGGTTTTTTCAAAGTGTGAATTTCCTAATTTGTATTTGGTGGGCTGTTAGAGTAATCTCAAGGGTTGAAAGTTTGGCCTCCAATCAAAAATGCCCATAACATTTTTGCTTAGGAGATACGACGATTTTTGTGATTTTCTTTGAAATTTTCAAAAAACTCAAATTACAAAATAATTCGTTAAAGTGAAATTCCCAGCCCTGTAGTTGTGTACTTTTAAAGATTGCGAATATTGCCATAAAAAAAAACTGCTCAAATTTTGGTAGTTTTCGAGAAGTGACTAAAAAATTTTAGAAAACTAAAGGTGAAGATTCTCAAAGTTTGAATTTCCCAACGTTGTAGTTGGGTACTGTAAGAATACTCTCAGGAGTTGCAAATCTTGCATTCAAATGCGACTGCTTAATTGCTTTCAGTTTCCCAGATGTGGCGTTTCTTAGTTCATTTTAAAAATTATATAAAAATTTTATGGTTCTTCAAATTTTGTATAAAAAACTTGAATAAAAAAACTTACCCTGAATAAAAAAACGAACCCTGTAACTGAATGCTGTCAGAGTACACTCAATGAATAGTTTTTTGAGTTGTTGAAAATTCGAAGCACCGGAGGTGCGGTACACGCTAGTCATATTTAAATCATTACTCTCTTAATGTTTTCAGGTGTGTGTGGACTCGGGAGATGGACTTGGACTTGGGCTTGTTCGATGCAGGCACTCATGAGCCCACGTGGGAGGCCCCTTCTGTATTCCAGGTAAAGAGTATAATAATAATATTATAATAAGTATAATTATATTGTAATAAGTATAATAATAATAGTAATAATAATATTGCAATAAGTATAATGATAATATTCAATCAACATACAAAGGGGGAGGGGTCCCTCCTCCTCAGAGATTCGACCTAAAGTGCATCCACCCAAAGTGCCACAAAGAAGGCTTTTTTACAAGAACATCCATTTTTGGTTGATCCACCCTAACATTTTTATACGTACTTTTAGCGCTGGCAAATATTAATTTTGAGGTAGTAACATTTTCCCAAAAAGAATCTACAGACCAAAAAATTTCGTTGAAATGGGGTCTTTATAGTCTTTTGGGAGAGCTCGGAGAATAAATTTGGTCTTCTGTCTAAAGTGTCAACAAAATCTTCGAAAAACATTTGAAAATCCGCCCCTCGAGCGAGAAACACCTACATCTGCGCCTGATCACGGGCACAACACATAAACACTTCTTTTTTTTCGTGCCTTGCATCGCTCTATTTTCCGGGTTTCGGGATTTTTTACTCATTTGGTCCGAATCTGCACGCTGAAAAGTATGAGCTGAAGGTGAAGTTAAATTGCTGTAGCCTAAATGTTTCAAACTAATTAAAATTGTCAAAAAAATAGTAACAAACTCGGGTGTATTTAATCAAGCGACTAAGAGAACATATGACATTAAATAAGTACAAAAACACCAAAAATTTTTCGCTCTACCCTCTATTAAAGCATTTGATGATAGGTTGTTTCCCGACAACGTGAGGTGGGGGCTACGATTTCCCTCCTCACCAGCAGTGGATGGTCATCCCACGGGGGTGCAGGGGGAGTGAACAAAGACAACGAGGCGGGGGGAGGAGAAGGGGGATGGGAGTGGTTCCGGAACCCGATGGCTAGACTGTTGTTGAGGAGAACAGCTGTGTTGGGCAATGACACGTGCAGACAGAGCAACGAGGCTGTCGACCCTAACAAACCATTCCCCAATGTCCAGTTAGTATTCACGCCAAATAAAACTCTGCTGTTTCATAAAAAGGAGTTTTTTTCTGCTACATGAAACTTTTTAGCTTTTTAGAAAATTTTTGAAAGAGTTTTGAAAATTAAAATTTAATGCAACGTTTGAAACATTTTCTTCTGACAGTTTTCAATTTTCCAAAATTTTCTAAAAAAAAATCAAAATTGTGATTTTTTTTGACAGGTGTCAAGTTACAGAATGGAGCGACTGGTCTGCATGTTCGTGTGAAGAGAGCAGCTGTCCCAACAAGTACAGATACAGACAGAGGAGACTTGTTCAGCCCCAGTGCTGCGACCACCTCCCCCCTCAGGCTTGCCAGCAGGCAGTGGGGCACACCAACGAGAGACAAGTGTGCAAGTTCATCTCTGACGATAGGACATGAAAAAATACCCCCGAAACTTTTGATTCCAGATGTCAATGGAGATCCTTGAAAAAAAATCTCGAATTTGTTCCAGATCTTTTTATTTAACCGTTCTTCTTTGATGACGACAACGACAGGACATAGAACATTATACCCAATATTTTGTGTTGTCCAAAATCACCAAATTTATACCCGGGTCTTTTGTGTTGCCCAAAATTACCAAATTATTATATGAATTTCATTGTTTTAAATAAATATCTAGGTTCAAATTCGCTAGAATCATATTCAACTAATAAGATTTGAGCGTTATGATCCAACTTTAAGAACAACTAAAACGTCAGTTTTTGAATGTATACTTCATCGTTTTAGTAAAAATCTTGGTAGGGCGACATTTCGAGACAGGCGACAATTCGTAACAGGAGACAATTTGTATTAAGGCATTGGCAAGTAGAATACGCTTGCTTTGTTGCGCTTCCATTCGGCAACTGATCTAATTGGTATGATAAAAAGTGCACACAGATTATTTTAAAAAATATATATATTGTTAGCTGACCAATGTTGTTCAAATATTTCATCGACATACTGTAGGCGCAAACATTACAAAATATTTATCAAAACTTTGAAGAAGTAGGTTTTTGGGCGCTCAGCGGGAAATGCAAAATTTGCTTGACAAAAATCTATAGACTGAACCAGTCATGAGTTTTTTGTTACCCTTATTCAATTTGGAGTGGTTTAACTTACTAGGCACACTTCATATACCATTTGAACTATATTAACCAAACTAAGGTCACAAGTGTTTTTTTCTTCGATCTTTTGGCGTCAGTGTCTTTCAGAGAATGTTTGAAAGTACAAAAAAATGCTCAATTAAAATGTCAAATTTTGTCTGAAAGCGCAAAATTTACATCGGTTTGGTCAATTAGCCTAATTAATGTGATTAACTTGAATACAGAAAAAAGTGTTGAATTAAACATCCAACTAAAAGTAGATAATGAAATCAAGTTTTTTTTGCAGACTTTGTCGATCCACAGGATTTTGCCGCACGCAATTATGTAACTGGAAAACATGAAAGCTGTCCAAGTATTGCAAACTTTTATAACAATCATTAAGTTGAAACTATTTGAAAAAAAAATCAGTTTTTACGTCATTGATTTGACTTATGAAACATTTCACAGTGACTGAAGACAGACAAAAAAGGCAAGGATTTTTTGATTAAGAATAGGCGTGAAATTTTTTTTCTCATAATAACATTAAAATTGTTACTATTGTGTTTTATAAATTCAATCTTACGTTTCTTTTTCAGTCGTTTCCGAACAACACAAAATTATGTACAAAATGCATTTTTTGTTTTCTTTTTACTTTCTTACCCTTTTTTTAAAGTCAGAAATAATACACAAACATTTCAACCTAACGCAACTTAATTCAACCTTAATTCAATGCTTCTTTTAATTCTGTGGCACAGTTGAACACAATAACGCATCAGCAACTGAAATAAATTGATTTTAGTTGAAAAAAAAATAACGGAAAGCTAGCCAACACTTTTATTGTTCCGAATTTTGATACGAAAGTAACGGAATTTTTGTGCTCGGGGTGGTTTTTTTTTCTTGAGACAAACTTCGACTTTCTAACTAGCCATTTTTGACGGGATTTTTTTATCGTTCGAAAGGTATTGTTGTCCTGAGCTTGAATTTGAAAAGATATTTTACCTGTGATCTTTTTTCGTAAATTTATGAGGGTTTAAAGATTGCCGTTTTGGCCAATTACCGACAATTAACGCGCGATCAATTTCGCGCTATTAACGCGTAAGCGAGATTTAAGTCGTCATAGATATCGTTCCAAATTGCCAAATTGGTTCAAGGAAGCTTATATGTCATAATTGATTTTTTAATAGCCGCAAAATCTATCACTTTTTACTAATATGACGTGTGGGGGGATGTGTTTACATAAAATCTAAAGTTTCTTCAAAAAAAAATTTTTTTTATTACTTTGAAATTTTTCATGTTATTAACGCTCCATAGACCTTAAAAGGCAGTCGGAACATTCGGGGCTTTGCCCTGATACGAGCAGTCTTGTTGAGTTTAAGTTTAAAAATGCATGTTGCACCAATTGCGCTTAAATTACTTATAAAAAGCCGATATCCATTATAACATATCCATCATAATGTCTGAAGGCATAACACAACAAGGTGATCCCGAGCTCCGTCACTTTTTGTGGAAGGATTAATCACATGTATGCAGTACGTAACTATCATCGAAAAATTTCGAAAATTAGCTTTCGCAAATCGATACTTTTTAACTGTACAACCGAACACTCGCTATGCAGAATCACCAAGGTTGAAATTCCTGATTACTGGGTTTTTCAAGCACATGCTCCGGCGGTCCGGCGGTGAAAGATGGAGACGTTGTTTTTCGAGTCGTCTGTTAGCTTTGCGCGAGCTTTGAGACGAGCACAAATGTGCAATAAATGACCTGGCGATTGCAAAAGTAACACTTTGGTACATGAAAATAGAAAGTGCAATGATACTTTAATACCAGAGGGTGCGGTCCACTTGATTATAGGGGACAGCCTGATACGAGTGCTGACGCGAATCCAGTCACATTGGCAAATTGGAGTCTTGAGTTTTTCTGGAGCTGCAACGCCGCAGATGTTGGCGTCACTGGAGATGTTAGACATGGTGAAGATGTACACGGTTACTTTGATGATGGGAACCAATGACGTGTCCAGGGGGAGTCGAGAAAGATAATGAGACTGCACGAAAAGATGAGTTGTAGTCTTGAGGAGCTGAGGATTTATCTAGATCCCGCGATACTAACCATTTGCACTGTCCCATACAACATGAAGGCCGACTAACACGCAAGAGAGATGAATGATAAAGTGCGCAAGACTGTTGGACGTGGCCGATATGATTGAACGCTCCCTTCCGAATGATGCATCCGATTTGGTCCACCTCAATACCTCCCTTCTTCGCAAGTAGGCCCCTATCTGGCCGTCTGGGAGCGAGAGTCGACTTGAGAGATAGCTCAAGGAGCAGCCGGACCAGACAACTGGGATCGACACCGATGGAAGCAGAGGAGGAAGGGTCATCCACGCCCCTGAGCCCGGTAGTGTCTACAGTGGTAGTGGACAATAAGAAGGCGGAGAGATATGCAGAGACGAGCAAGGCACGTTATCTAAAGAGGGTGAAAGAGTTGGACCTTGAGGATTTGGCATGCAGGCAGGAGTTAGCGGAAGTCCTGGGGCTCAAGAACGTGTCACATGAAGACTTGAGTAGACACCACTGCGTGGACTGGTTGAAGGTCCACGAGGCACATTTCTCAAGAACCAAGACATTGGAGACAGCAGACTTAACTGGGATTTCACAGCAGTCGATAATAGGACCAGTCAACTACATGCCCCTCAAGCAATTGGGGAGTCCAGGACTCATAGTGCAACCTCCCAAGCATCGAACAAGTCTAGCCAGAATCAGGGTAGCGATTCCCGCACAGCTGAGAGTGGTGGAGAAGCTGCTTGAGTCGAAAGACATGGGACGCCCAGATGTCGCATATGGAGGTCCAAAGCTGTCCGAAGATCCAAGATATGGTAAGCACTGTGGAAGCCCGCAGTTGGCCAAAACATTGGCAGTGTATGATCGATCGGATCCAGGAGCAGCGAGGGCGATCATCATGGCGGGTTCGGACTTCGAGGAAACGTCGCCGAAGTTATTCTGGCCAGAGACCCAAGACGAGAGTGGCATTTACGACGTCCCCAGGCTACGCAAGTTTGCCGCCTGCCTTGTAGTTTGTGTATGCAATGTTGATCTTGATAGCGGAAGGGAACGCGTGGCGGACCTTTATGGCTGCTCCCAATTGCGATCTGGAGCCAGTAAACTTGAGACTTCTTAAGTCGGAGTTGGCACGGCATGGGCGGATGTGTCTCATGCCTTAAGAGGATTCTACGAATTGGCGGATATTCTCATTGTACTGGATGAGGTCCTCTTACTCGAGATTTCGAATCTCGCTCGGCAATTGAAATTCAATCCAGAGATAAGGGACAATCACGCGATAAAGTGCCACTTGACAGCCAGCCTGTGGTTTCGAAGCATGGATTTGACGATCACGAGTTCCACCAGCAAGGCGAGGGGACCAAGTAATGAAAGGAAGAACGTGGCTGTGGCCGAAAAACAGTTGGAATCGAAGGGATACCGTCTAACGCAAGAAAGAAGCAGGTGGCCGTTTCTGATCCAAAGGCTTGAGAATGCCACGGATAAGACGCGGGAGAGTGCCCCACCTCTCACCAAGCAGATATGGGACTTTATTGAGGTGTAGCTAGAAGTGGCAGAAAGCAGAGACATGACGGTGGGAAGATTTGTCACAGCGGCAAATGAAATCACCGTTGGAGGATTCTGGAGGGAACACGCGAAAGACGAGCTGAAATTTAGGAAGAATCACCAGATCTTGAGATTCTTGAGCCCTTGTTGGGAAAAGAGGTACATGGCCAGAGCATTCTATGCGAAGGTTACCATCTTCGATTGGTTCGTGCAGGAATTGTTGAACATATCCATAATTATCTTGCTGGCCCTGTACTTGGTCTACCCCAGGTATCTGTTCAACATGGATCCTGCCTACATGTTCACTCAGCAGGGTCGTGGAAACGCTCCGAATTGGTGGATACTTAATGCTGGTACTGCTGACCAATGGAGAACTGACGGCGTTTGATCGACTGATGAAGTATGGGGAACCCCTGTTGATAAGGAAGGCTCACCCATGTGAGGAAATTTATTCATACAAGTATGCTGCCGGACTGAAGACGTTGCTGGTGGAGTATGTCATGAAGCAGAATCGATACCTCACGGGCAAGGAGAGAAATCCCAAAACGAGAGAAGAGTTGAAGGAGGCGAATGGAGGCATACCTCTCTTGACTGATTTGTGTTTGGCCATGAGATCTGACACATTAGGGATGATTAGGGGGCTTGGAGAAGTCTTGACCTGCATCTACGAGCCGGCGGTAACATCCGCTCGTGGTGGCATATCGGCATTCAGTGCTGCACGTGAGCCTAATAAGTATGCTAGATGGAACGGCGCTGAACTGGTGCAGGCAAGAAGAGTTGAGAGCTTGAATCCCTTGACAGGGGACAAGGTAGAAGTCTTGAGAATCCCGGCGTGAAAAAAGAATTTTGAAGTGGAGAAAAAGTAGTTGGAAAAAATACTTGAGCAAGAGCTTCTGCCCACTACCGTCCCTGAACTCCCGATGGTCACAAGAATGATTGTGGGGATGAACA